ATATATATATATATATATATATATATATATATATATATATATGGTAAATTAGTGAACAGTGATGAGTTATACAATAAGCAAATAATATAATCAACTAACAAATTCCTTGTCATTACTTCGATAATAGTTGACTCTCTGTTTGTTGATAGGTTGGATAATGGTTGAGATATAAAGAATTCGCCCTCCGTTGATCTAGGGATGTGCTGCAGGGAATATTTTTAGCAAAAGAAGGAATATTGTCGTCCGTTGTCCAGTGGTAGCGGATATGCGAAGAGAACGTCATAGTTTGCTTGATGGTAAAAAACTACCTGTATAGGATTTTTGGGAAGGAGCTTTTGTATGCTTACCGGGGTTATCATGGAGGTATGGTTGTCTTTTGACATAGTCCGTAGTGCAGTCACGGATGGATACTGAGATGTTTTTGTGATATTCTTTCCATTGTTAGCGTATATCCTTATTGCCTTAGTTTTACTTACATGATTTCATCATTTTGTCTGGTAGATATTGTGGAAATTTCTCTTTGAACATAACTTTAATTTCAGTAATCCGACACCATGTGGTGTAATTTGAAGTTAGAAGATATCACATTTTCGACACTGTAGTTTGGCCTTAATCGGGAGGTGACGTACTTTTCCTTTCTTTTCAGGAATATCAGAAGAAGAACGTATTTTGGAGCGCGCACAACGAATGTGTGAAAATGCTGTCTCACGTAGGGGATCACTGCTGCATCGTCTGAGCAAATTTTTAGTTGCAGTTGTAAAATCGAAGAAAAATACATGTTCGGAAAAACTTCGTTCAACGGCAATATTGTCATTATCAAAATTTATGCTTCTAAGGTACTAATATGTCCTAATTTTTCATTGTTAATGCGCTCCATGAACAGTCTCTTTAAATAATTACAGTGCTTATGCGTTAGGTTAACGAAAAAAAATTATGTTTTTTTGTACACTGTCATTTCCATTGCAGTATGAAAACATGTTTGCGTTTTATGCCATTATTCCTGGAGTATTTCAAAAATTCACCAAGTTCAGAGTGCCGTAGCAATTTGATGATTGCAACTGGTGATTTATGTTTTCGTTTCCCGAATGTGATCGAGAAATATAGTGAACATCTCTATCATGGGTTAGCCATTCTTAGGAAAACTTTTTTCTCATACTCCGAAATTTCAGTAAAATTTAAGTGTTACTTGACGATATCCGATTCTTTGCCAGTAATGTTTGTTCGATCTCAGAATAAATGATAAAGATGATTATGTGCGGCAGACTTCGATTATCGTGCTGTCTTATCTCATGTTGAACGATATGGTGAAAGTACGTGGAACAGTTGCTGATCTGGCGCAATGTGTCAACGATGAAAATGTTAACGTTGGACAGCTTGCAAAATTTTTCTTTTCAGAACTTGCAAAGAAGGTTTAATTTGGAATTTTTTTTTTGAATCATCTTTTTTTCCAAATCATTATGGGAAATACTTACATATCCTTTTATTTCATTTGACCTGATGAAAAGCATCACTTCTGAAATGCTGACTTCGCTCCACTTTTCGATGTATCACGTTATTTTTTTTTAACAGTGGTGAAAGCATTTAGCAGGATAGCCAAGAGAAAAAAGTGAAACTTCCATTCATCCACATACCTTTTCAAAGTATAATCTCTGAAAAGAATTTACTGAATTAACCTATGAAGAAACTAAAATTGTATTGATAGAATTCAGCATAACTGGATGCGGCTTTACATTGACTCATTTCAGGGAAACATTCTTTATAATTTGATGCCTGATATGATTTCACGTCTTTCATCCAGTGACTCAGTGGCTATCGATGATTTTATAAAAATCATGAAGTATGGTGTTAATAAGTTTTCATTTCAACGAATATGAAATAGAATTGTGGAGAATGTAAGCTTCAGTCTTATAGAAAACCCATCGATTAAGTAAAAATCTATCGATCAAGTAAAAACATCGAACCATTTTCTGTAATGTCTTTATAAAGTTTTTAACCTAAGCTGTGTCGATTATTTTATGTGTATAACATTGTGTTTTCAGATTGTTACTGGCATTTATCAAAAAGGACAAGCAAGCTGACAGTTTACTTGAAAAACTAATACAGCGTATGCAGGGAGTTATTAACAAGTGAGGAATGCGGTTTTTTTTCTCGAGTTTTCTTAACATTCAATAGTTTTAAGGATTCCATGATCAAATAAGTCAACTTGTCGTAATTTTTTCAGGGATGGGCTATTTGACACACGGTTGGCAGAGTGTTTATCATATTGTATTTCCTGCCTTCCATTAAGTGAAAAATCGTTTCGTTTTATGGCAGAATCGTTACCAGCTTATTCAAATTTGTTGGCTTTAGAATGTGTTTTTATGAATTTACAGTCAGCTGTCCTTCACTTCAAAAAGTATTCTGTGCGAAACACAGAGCTTAAGGTTTGAAAATTACTAATATTGTGTTTATATTTTCATAAACTTTTTAAATTCTCGTGTTTTGTTAATTTTCTTTCCATTTATTAGTGAGAAAAATTAACTTACAGGGAGAAGTAGACGATTTTTTGGATTCCCTAACTAAAATGCATCACGATAAACAAGAACATGAAGGCATTGCTAATCGAGGATTGATTCATAGAGTAAGCTCCATATTTTATGCTTAAGTCAGTTGATTATGCTTGTAAAGTAGAGTCACTGATCAGTATATTTTGTATAAAACCATGTATTCAGGGTACTTTTTCTTTTGTCATATTTAGCGCAGCTTCAAGGCACAACTCATTTATTTGAAAGGAGGTGCAAAATATTAACATTAAATTATTACATTGGTTTTTGTCTAGGTTTTATCGTTTGTTCGGCATTTGACAAGCTAATTATGTTTGTATTTCTTATTAACAAGTCACACTTTTTCTTTTTTCTTTCCGGATAAACTGATATCTGTTTTCAGAAAAAGTGCAAAGCACCATTGAAGTCGAAGAAAGCTCGTTGAAGCTATTTTTATTGCATACAATAGAGATATGGATATAAGGGTATTAAACGATAAAAATTTTGTTTGCATAATATGAAATAATATATATCTAACATTTAGTTATGGTGACTACCCAAAGATTTTATTTCCTTGTACTGCTCTGCACTGTTCATCTACTTCATTATTTGTATTATCTTTGAGATGCAAGGATGAGTCAGTTTTCTAAGATATTGCAAAGAGGACTCATTCGTGCTACTTCTGAATTCAAAATAAAAAGGAATGGACATGTGTGACTTATGAAATTCTGTTGTTTGTATTATTCTATTAAAATCCATGGAAAAATACATGTTTGTGATTATGAAGCTCATTTTGATTACTGCTACTGAAAACTATTTTGATGTTCCTGCTGTGTAAATGGGTTGCTTTTTTCTGTTATAAGGAGATCCAACTGTTCTTAATGTGCAGACTGCAATGGAATATGATAATATACTCATATGCTGGTGATATAATTATTTTGCCAGCCTTTCAAGAATGAGTGTTTGTTATGAGTGAATAATGTGCTCGAATCTAGGAGCAATATTGTTTCAGCTGAAACTTGTGATTTATTTTCTACTTCGTCTTTATTTGTCCATTATGTTACATTTTCAAATTAGATTCAGCATATATCTTGCATTTTTTTGTTCGTTATATCTCTCAGTAGAACATAAAAAGGAGCAGAAGAGTTCTAGTTCATTCGTCTTCATCCAAAACTTCCAACTAATTCTTCCCTTCCAGTCTCAAGAAAGGTCAAAGAACGCGTATGACCTTTCATAACCTCCCCCACTCAAAAATGGGTACAAGTTCAGTTACTAGACTTAATATGTCCAACTCTCGAGAGTTACAATGCTTATAAACAAAGTCAGTAATACTCAGCAATAGCAATGAGGATGAAGTGCTAATGCGATAGACCAAACGCTAGCGCAAGAAGTGCCATTCACATTCTAAAATGTTGTAATATGATCTAGCAGCTGCCGCTGTTTGTTGCTTTGCCACTATTTGTAAAAATCATTCTGTTGGGATCACTGTTGTCTTGAATACGAGCTGTAGATACATCCGGATATTGATCAACAGATAAAGGATGGATGAATCACTGACACAATCTCCCGAAAAACAGGTATGTGTTGATTCATTTACTTAGGCAAAGGATTAAAATTATCACTAATGGATGCAGGAGTGGCAGCCACCCTAATCTGCAGAATTCGATAAAACACAAGATAGAAAAGAACTGTCGGTACGTAATTAGTAAGGGAACTCAGTTGGATAACTTATTCAGTGTAACTATAAAATCGATGATTTTTCCAGGACAATAGTTTTTTCCCATTTCGGATCTGTAAACACATAATATCGTAATTTATCAAGGGGTATTAAATCTTAGTTCCATCATTATAATTATAGTAGTGAGATGTTCGAGAATGAGATTTTCCGTTTGGAAGATTGGTTAATACTTGAAAATAAATACTTCAGACACCTGCAAGCGCTTCCGTAACTTCTGCAATCTCAACAGTAGATGACGATGATGTGGTTAGTTTTGCTGTTTACGGCTCTTCTGTGAACTGAATGAGATGATTTGAAAATGAATGAAAGACATGATGTCCATATAAGTTGCAAGGCAAACAATATGAGCAGTACTTTTTTTGATCCACTTCCTTATCATTATCACTATCTGTTAGACTCATTTTCCACATTCACTCTACCCGTTTCATAAAAAATGCACTTTCTTTCTAATACGCATATAAGTGTGCAGTTATTCTTGCTGTTGTTCAATGTATTCAATGGCTGGATGATAAATATTCGATACTCTTCCCGATCCTCACTTCCGCGCGTATAATCCTTTTTGTCCTAACAGTTCTAGTTTGGGCCGATAATTATAGCAATACCGATTGCTAAATGTTACAGAAGAAAGTAGATCAATCCTAGCTTGATACCTACAGTACTAAATATGCTCTTCAAAATGGGTTGGATGGTTTGGGATGGCTGACGAAATGAAGTTTTTTTCTTGTTTCGATGTGTTTTTTACTGCTTTTTGCGTATATCCTACTGGCTCATTTTGTTCAATTTTTAATTTATTGTAAGTCATTTTTGTGCAATAACCGAAAATGTAGTCTAAAATTGTTCGCATTTTTTTTAGCAGGTAGCCGAAATAACCGTACAAATTGAACTGAAAGGAAAGGAATCGACAGCAAACAACTGACTGGCGGTCATATGCATACATGTTTCTATCTTCTTTAGCTACTTTTCCCAAGCTGCTTTTTATTACTACATCTGAAATGTTATTATGCGCGCTCCCCTTAGTTCTGTTTTATCGAGGTCTGCTTATCGAACATAACGCGAATGTTTTTGAAAAATTCGCATTTGCAAAGCTGAAATGTCAGGAATGGTTCAACAAAATCGAGTAACTAAAAAAATTAAAACCTATGGGATAGAAGTGAGGTTGAAGGATGACTGCACAGTTTCAAGACTTTGTAAAATGAAATTACAAACCGGCTGATCCATGCAATCAAAGTTGCCGTTCCTACAAGCTATTGTTTCTCGAATTTCTAAGCGCTCACACACTTGTTTAGATTCTGAGCAGCTGCCTTCACTCCATGTGTACACTATCCTTCTAGAAATTGGAGTTGATACTATGAGAACTTTTTTGGATTTTTCGCTCCTTTATATATGAAAGAAAAAAATGTGTTATTTTAAAGAAAGTTCAACATACATCATTTCAACTTCTGGGAAAGGTGTGTTACTTAATGGCTCCAACTTACACTGTTTGATTTTACTTTGTCAGTGATAGTTTTTCTTCTTAAATATACTTTCAGAGAACTTTAACACTACATACCTTTCTAATAAAACATAAGTTTTGTTTCTTTGAAGCACATCTTGTTAATATATAGCCTTCGTTCAATGATTGGAATGTTACGAAGATTAGAAGGACCGCCACTCAAGGAAATAGGTAGTAATATGGGACATCAAATTACTAGTACTACACTACTAGATTTTTTCTATGGACTGCTGCTTATTTACTTACTTAAATGATCGTAATAAATGTACTTAATTTACTACAGTTATTTAAACAGAGGTAAGGTCATTTCATTTATTGGAATGCGTTTTTATGATTAATGGTATTTCCTTTTCATTTAGAGCTTCACCGGTTTTGATATTTCTTTTCTTATTGAGTTATAAAATTGACGGCTGTATATTTCTTTTCTTGATTTCATCCATAATTTTTTGTGACAGATTTTCAAATGCTGGATTTTTGTAATTGAACGGTATCTTTCAGAAACGGACTCTGGTTACTATCAAAACTTGGAATCATTAAAAATAGTTCAACTTTACAGGAAATTAATGCTTATACTTGTTTTATTTATTTATTTTTCATTTTGCTGAGCTCATTTCATTGAACTGTGATTTCCTGACAATATTATGGAACATTTTTAGTGAATCACTTAAAAACTATGAAATTATTAAATTGAAATTTAAGATTTTAATCAATTCAGTTTCAGGGAATAATATCAAACTACCAGCCTGAAATAAATATAAATGCTGAACCTGAAGGGATTATTCTACCATCAGCATTATCGACAACAATTGGTACGACACCGCTGGTATTTTTTTTTTTGAATAAAACGTTGAATGAGCTGTTGGAGACTACTATTTTGTGGCTATTGATGTTTATTGTTCTTAAATTGTATTAGGAAACCTCCGAAGTAGAGCAGATTCGGAAGTTCCAACTTGGAAGTTTCATTTTTAGAATTTGCAAACGGATACTCCTTCGGAGCTTTTCGTACATCCAACATTTTATGACAGATCGGCAACTTCGGCTGCCAAAATACCACATTCACTAGCCCGCCCTTTTATTTCATCAGCATTAAAGCAAATAAAACATGTTGATACTGGAAATGAAGAAAAAGAGTCTGGACAACAGTTCACCGAAAAATCTGCTCACAATCAACACGGTATCAAGATTTTTCAACTTTTTCGAGAAATTTACAAAAACAGGTTTCGAAACTGCCAGCTTTAGTGATCATATCAACTTCAGTAGTACCAGACGAGAATCTTGCGGGAAATGTGCGAAGAGATGAAAGTGGTTTCGTTTTCTACAAATGTCGTTTCTGTGGACTTACTTATAACTATTTAACAACATTGCGGGCTCATGAAAGAGTACATAATATTGATGAGGTTTGTTGTTTTCTTAAAAAAGAACCCTCACAGAAAAAAAAGAAGCATCCCACAAATTGTTTTGGAAATTTTTGTAACTTTGAATCTGTGATATGCTTTGAATTACTACCACTTCAGCCTTATAAGTGTAATCGTTGTTCGGAATCGTTTCATTACATATGTGAATTGGAGTACCACGTCAAACAGCACAGTGGTAAATATTTTATTCTTTATATCCTAAAGGAGGGCATGGAACAGTGGAAAAAACTTGAGTCGAATTTCTATTGATTAAATTCTGTTTTTTATTTGGAAATGGAAGTGTGGCTAGAAGAGTAGGAATTACGTTAGGGAAATGCTCTGATATGTTTCTTTCAAAACTTTTTGATTTTTTATTTGAATTTTGACATTTGCCGATTTCAGCTTTATTGTTGCAGATTTGAAAGGTTACAAGTGTGAATGTGGCAGAACATTCCATTTTTACACTGATTTGCTGTATCATAAACATCCAGGTGATGAAGAATCGGTCACTGCAACGGCGCCTACTGCTACAAAACCTGCCCCACTTATTCCAGAAAATGATTTTCCTGTTCCAGAATTCATTGAGAAAGGATTTGAACCAAAGCATCCTTTGAAAGTTTATTCTGATGTGCGCCACAATCCGTACATTTGTCAATATTGTTCGAAAAGTTATCCAAACAGTCGGTAAAATTTCAATGTATTATACCATGAATAGAAATTGTCTCTTTGAGCAAGTCTGTTTGTAAACGTCGTTATTCTAATTCAGAAGTAGTGCTTGTAACAGCGAATCGGTGCACGTATCCATATGAAAAAAAAAGAAAAAAAAGTAAAAAAAGACTGGGGGAGATTTCTGATGTAATTCGAAAATACGATAGTTAGCTTACTTTGACGTTTCTAGAATCGATATTTTTTGCAACCTTTTGTTAACTTCAGCATGTTAGCGTATCATATGTATGCACATAGAGGTGAAAGGATATTCAATCCTCGTGCTTCAAGATACCTGATGGCACGAGCCGAGAATTCTTACATCAGTCCAGGATCTTAAAGGTCAAGTGAGGCTTCGGATATTTCTAATGAGAATTCACTTCAATTTGTATATGATCTATGCAAATCGTGAAGGATTTTGTTTTTAATCATTATAAATTAAGAAACTAAAGTTTCACAACATCATACGCGTATACAGGCAAGACACTTATACCATAAGGAATAACGATTTGTTTGTTAACTTGAGAGAATTCCTAACATTGATTGCCACAAATGAATAGTAACGAATAAACAAGATAATACAGTGCATTGAAGAATTAACTGGTCCAGCATAAATTTCGACAATAACTTATACATCGAATTATTACATTTACTCTGCTTTCATAGTACTAAAAAATTCTAATTTCAAATTTAAAATCAAGAATTCCTGTATGTGAAAAACGCTCCTCATTTGAGAAATAATCACATCTGTTTACTACTTACAGTTCATTTATAACTTCCCAGATTATGATGTCGTGTCTCTTTATATGTTCGTCTTTATAAGTCTATTTCAGTCATATTAACATTCAATTCATTAAAGATTTCCTATTTTCTTAATGAATATGATACTGACATAAACTCATTTCGAATGCCTATTTGCACTGAATATTCCTTCATCATCTTTAAACAGATATATTAACCCCTCATGGTTTGCATTCATTCAATATAAGTATGACATGCATAGGAACAGTTGGCGTATCATTTATTACTTGCTAAGTCATGATGGCAATTGCCATTATTTCCAAAGGCACTTCCTTATTTCAAACCCATGAAAAAGGTACATTGACGATCTGCAGCAACTGCTGTATCATCATCATTGTCAATAGTAATGGGTGGTTCACTGCTGGGCGATATGCGATCGGCATCTAATTCCATCAGCTGTTCCAAATAAGCCCAGTCGCCATTAGTCCATTCATTATTCTTCACTATTTCTGAAACTTGAATGGCTGGTTCCTCTACCGGTAGTTTATCATCATCTACAGTGACATAATGCTTTTGTGATAAAGGTTCCTCGTAATTATGGGATACTTTGCGCCTTGCTAATTCAATTATCTCTTCCAAAGTTATAGCTCGTTTAGGAGTCGATAATGATGTTCTGAATACGATTCCAGAATTATCATTAGTAGTCAACACCGGTTCTGACTTTGTCCCAATTTCTGAAATTTCAATTTTTTGGAGAGGTAATTCGATTAAATTAAATTTTTAAATGGGACAAAATTTGTTAACCACAATCTACAGAAGACCTGTAATTATTAGCTCATTAAATTTCAAACAGAATTTGCTGACAGTACCGCTCACCTTCCACAAAGAAATAATTCCAGTGTGAGAGATTTCGCTTCGCTTTCAAAAAGTCGACTGATACCGAAACGGAAGGTGCCGAAGGTTCCTGATTTCGGCGATGTACCTGATGGCATGACCGATTACATTCAGCAGTAGTACAGAATGGCTGTAATTGCGTCCGCATCGCCCTATACATCAAGACTATGCTTACAACAATATAAGAGCTGCTAAGCAACGCTAGGCCTTTCAAGCAACGCATATATCATTAGCGTCCTACGAGTCATCCAATTTTACATTCCACTGCGTGATGAAGCGACACTCTCTCTAAATGTAGACTTGTTCAATAAGCATGGCGAGAAGTGGGTAATGTTAATGAGCTGGTAACTATCCATAAACTGAAAGGATACTTGTATGTGTCGCTCAGCGCGGAAGATATCATCAACAGATTGTGAAACCACCTACAATACAGAAGGAACGGATCTTTCGGAACAAAAATCTGAATTCCCCTCCACTTACCACCTCAGCTATTCATTGTTAATTGATACCAAGTATGGGAAGACATATCGACTTACAAGCCATTCCAATCATCTTCGAACTTGAGTTATCTCTCCTCAAAACAGACTTCGCGAGGAGAGATATGTCGAGTCTCGAGGTAAGTCATCGGAATCCACTTACATTTACCAGTTTTTCATTTCTGTTTTCGAAAGCAAAACAGCACTGGTTACTTCGAAAACTGATTGCAGTACAGAAGAAACGGATCTTTTTCACATAACTGCAATAACTTCTGTTCCGCACAGATGCAAAATGTAGTCATGTTTAGAAACAAATTAGTATTGCGTCAGGTATGCGTCGTTTCCTTTCATCACTAACAACAAAAGAAATTTCCCAACTTCAAAGTGTTACCACTGACTGCACCAGCCAAATTTCAATCAATAGACCCCATACAACAATCTCGCACCGTCATTCCCGCTATCTGTCTCTGCGAAGTCTTTTTTGGAGAGAATTGTGAACGCTGTAACGGGGCCGCGTTACAAAGGTTCTCTATTCAGGAATTTTTCAGAAGTTTGTTGTCTTGTTCTCGGGAATGGAAATGGAAAACTGGTAAGTGGAAGTAGATTCGGAGCAAGGCAGTGGTTTTAAGTGAGGGATAAAGCCGAGTTATCATGGAAGCATAGCGGTGGCTCGAACTTCTCACGACTGTTTCTCTTTTTCACTTTCTGCTGTCAAAGCAACAGAGCCTAACATCAAAGATGAGCGGTAGTATTACCGCGGAACGGAAAATGGAAATTATGCAATCAGAAATGAATAATTTTATGAGGCGCTTGGAACCGCGGATGCGTGGTCGATTCAGTGATTCACTTCGAGAGATACTGCTCGAAAGTTTATTGGATGGGACTGTGTTTGCGATTGTCGAATCGCTCAGCGATTTGCAGCGCATGAATGAAACGTAAATTTTGTTTTGCTGTTTAATTCAAAAATAAAAAGTCTATTAGGACAGTTCAAGTTTGCCTCATTTATGAAGCAACGTTCTCGGCAGTAGCCGCCTCTGAAATAACTGCCCTCCTCTTCGCCTAAAACATCCTGCAAAATGCAACATGTTCATATGTGAGTTATAAATTAACATTATTAAAAATACTTAAGCTACAGTGTGTACTTCTGATAAACTTTAAACTTTTTTCGCCTACTTCATGAATATTTACCATATTTAGGCAGCTTTACAACGACCGTCAGCAACGACTGATGGAACTGCAGTGCGTTCCTGATTTAGATGAACAAATGAAACAGATTGATATTAATATTGTCACTGAGCTCGATAAGGTATTTTCTTACCGCAATTGGCATTTAAATTTATTTGTTCTATTCGGAGTTCCAAGCCTCACTGTTATATACGAAAGAACAGCAGATGGCAGTTGGTTTTTGCAGATAGTGGCACAACAGCAAGATACATTGTGCCGTGCCGGTGTTCCAGCATTTCGTATTACTACTAATCCTCGAGAAATCGAGCTACAAATGGCAATCATCAGTTTCATTTTAACAGTTCGTGCAAGACTTCCATGACAGTTATTGATAACTTTGTTTCTTTCCCCTTTTTATTGTTAAATGCAGTGCCACCACATTTCAAAATAAATACTATTGAGATAGAATACCTTGCTCTTTTTGCTAGAACTGTTTACTTCAGTTTGCATTGTTTTTGTTGTTGGTGGTGATAATTTTAACTTTACCACCCTCATTTTTAAAGGAACGTCATCTGAAGAGTATTTAATGCTTTTCTTGATAACAGTAGTTGCACAAGAATTTGATCACTGGAAGGAAATTCCTATTTTAAATTCAACTATCATGCAAGTTTATTTTGGCTGTATCTTTTTGGCTTGTCCAATTTGATGCAATTTGCTGCAAATCACACCAGCAGTAATTGCGCAGGATTCAATAGCTAAAATTCACCAAGTTATTCCATAATAGCTTTCCAAGAGTGCATCATTCTGCTATTTATTTTAGAGTACGTGCAAAAAGATGACTATAAACGCAAAGTTTTACTGAGGTGCTCAACATAAAGATTATTATTCCTCTAATAGAACTACAATATACAGAGCAAGGATATCGGTTTCCTGCGAACTTACCCATCGTCCAGTCAATACGAATTTGAAAATATG